GTATCCAGTGGACCTGATAACAGAACACCCACCTTACGAAGAGTTGCCTGAAAATATACCAGAGTTCGTGAAAGGGTTATCTTGAAGTATGGATGATATTCATCATCAAGTGCGTTCAAACTTAAAAAAGTCTGCTGATTCTATTTTTGTGTCATATGTTCCTGAAGATTTTTTGTGGTATATTACACATATTTGTTTGTGTCAACTCTTCGTATAGATGTTTGTGGTATGTTACTTCCATTTGTTTCTTTCTACCATGTCTTACAGCTCTTTCTCGTATATTACTAACACTTGTTGGAGTCATATGTTCCTGTGGTGTATTACTAACACTTGTTTGTGTCATTTCTTCCTATATGTTATATTACTGACACTTGTCATATTCTGCTGTGGTATATTAATAACCCTTGTTTTGTTATATGTTCCTGTGGTTTATTACTAACACTTGTTTATGTCACCTATTCCTGTGGTATATCAACAACACTTCTTTATGTCACCTGTTCCTGTGGTATATCAACAACACTTGTTTGTGTCATATGTTCCTGTGGTATCATACTAACACTTGTTTGAGTCATATGCTGCTGTGGTATGTTACTAACACTTGTTGTGTCATCTATTCCTGTGACATATTTATAAATGTGTTTGTGTCATCTGTTCATGTGGTATATTACTAACGCGTGTTTGTTTCATTTGTTCCTGTGGTATATGTTACTGACACTTGTTTGTTTCATCTGTTCCTGTGGTATAATACTAACACTCGTTTGAGTCACATGTTACTGTGATATATTACTAACACTTGTTTGTATCATCTATTCCTGTGGCATGTTTATAAATTTGTTTGTGTCATCTGCTCCTGTGGTATATTACAAACGCTTGTTTGTTTCATTTGTTCTTGTGGTATACTAACACATGTTTGTGTCAACTGTTCCTGTGGTTTACTGACACATGTTTGTGTCAACTGTTCCTTTAGCATGTTACTAATAAATTTTCGAACAAATTAACTCTATCAGTCCAATAACTCGTTAGATCATAACTATAACAGCAAAGAAATCCTGTTTATGAGTTTAACCCTGGACTTCCAAAGTCTTAGCATATTACCTTAGTATTTGTCAACCAGCTAACGGCATTACCGATATTTCACGATGATAGGTCCCATGAGCTTATTATCCACATTTATAACTAAAAGTTGTTTTAAACATATAAATCAAGTCATTTATAGCTGTTATACACTCCAGGATTTAATACCCTCATTATAGATAAATTTACTTTAATTTAATATCTTCATAGTGAACCATACATCAACAACAACAACTTTACTATATAGCCAAGTTATCATCATATCTTAATCATAACTGTAATTAGCCAAGTTAATATTATATCAGTTACATATGATACTTGCAGTACTATATTCATCTTACATTACAAGTAAATATATGTATAAAACTCATTGTATTTTGTAGGTTAAGATTATCATCATTGTGTGGTGATTATGTTAACCTAGGTTTGTGAAAACATTTAGTAAGTAAAGTTTGTAAAATAAATGTTCATAAAACGTAATTTATGAGGATTGCTCCTCAATGTGTGGAAGATAATGTGTATTCATCATGTGAAGAAGATGATTTTTGTTGAATCATTTAATTATAATCTGGAGTCCTTATAGGACCATCAAATCTTGATAAAGAGGATGTTATGATTGCACATTTTCTTGTTTACTGATGAAAAACTTTAACTTCCAACATTTCCTTTACATTAAACACCGTCATTTAATATAATTGTTTCTCTATTACGACTTTGTTACACTGATTAACAATGAAGTAATTTCTCTTAATTGGAGACATAAACATCTGTATCAGCCACAGAAAGATCAAATCAACATCTTCCTGGCGATTTTCACAATAACACCTGCTCATCTTAAATTATATCATACACTAGAGAAGTTAGGTTCTTCTGTATTGTATAGTGATACGATCCACTTCTAGGGGGTTATCTTGGTGAATTTACAGTATGAAATATCGTGGGTTAGTGGTGGTCCCCAAAACTATGAGTACTGACACGACAATTGGAAGTCATGCTGTAAAATTATAGGGTTTACTTTGAATTAAACTTCTCAAGAATGGATAATAAAATAACAGATATATTCAATCCTTTTCAGTATCCTATAACTTTAACTAATCCTAACAAGATACTTAGAGATTTAAAGACATTTACAACAAGGAAGAATTATCATCCAGTTTAAACTAAACGACACATCCTTCCAGACTTTAACATTATTCTCTATGGATATTGATTTTTTTATGTCTAATGCAATTAACTTCTTGCCATGGTCTATGGACTGAAAAGAGAGCATGTGCAAGATTTTGAGGAAGATTCCAAGTGCACTCAAATATGGTCTATATAAGATTAGTCACATTACAATATTTTCTCATTAGAGTTTGAGATGGATAATCGTCTACTACACCCTTCTATGAGTTTATTGTCAGGTCCAACAGGAAGTGGTAAATCACAGTCTGTAAACAAAGTCTTAATTCATCATTGTGAAGTTATCCATCCTATTCCTTTAAATATTGTATGGATTTATGGTGAATTTCAACCTCTGTATATTAAATTAATGCAAAATATTCCTAACGTTCAATCTGTCGAAGGATTACCTGAAAATTTTCACGATTGTTTACGGTCTGATAAATCAAATCGTTTTACCATTGATGATGTTATGAGTGAAAGTGGAGAAAACAAATGAGTGTCTCAATTTTTTTATATGTAGTAGTCACCATTTCAGTTTATCAGTGTTTTATATTGTAGAGAATATTTCATCATGATAGAGGAATTTATAATATTAGTTTAGATTCTGAATATATTATTTTGTTGAAGAAAATCAGTTAAACGTTTTAACAAGAGAAATGTTTCCATCATGTATCTGTTATTTTAAAGAAGCTTATCAAGATGGAATGAGACAACCATAGGGCTAGTTACTCGTCGATTTGAAACTGCACCTGAGGATGAGACTTTTCCTGAATATAAAATTATAGTGTATGTAGGAAAGTGAGTTAAAACTGATGTTTCACAGTATATATTTTATTCATTATTATGACTGTGGTCGTACTAGAAGTAGACGGATTTTATTTGAAGGATATACTATATATAATTTAAAAACTAACATTTAAAAGTTTCTTCTCTGGATATATATATATGTGTTTTTTAACAACCATTTCTGAGTGAATGTTAGATAGATTGTTGAGAGAGAACTTTACCACCGTTTATACAAAGAAGAGAAAGAAAGCAAAGATATTGAGAAGTCTCCTGAAAATATCTTGTTATAAACTGGAATTGTTTGGATGCCCCAAGGTTAATCAACTTTCAAAATTAACTCTGTCCTTTCCATTACATATTAACAATCGTACTGTACGATAAAATTCCTATATAAATAAACAGTTTTTTATGTTGTACTTATAATCTCTTTCATTTATTCATCCTGACATTTAGAATAAAAAACATCAAGAGTTTCTCCGTGCATTACCTAAAGCAATACGTAAACAGATTACAGGAATTATTGCTGGAGATAAAAATGAATTTATCTTGGGTATTTGTGAATGTGATTTAAATGTTTTAAAGGTAATGCTCCCATGACGAACACACAAAAGAAGAAACAAGGATGACATAAGTCATTATTGAGAAAGTTTGCTGTCAAGAAAGCATGAGTTAAACAGAAAGGAAACTTACTAAATCAGAAAGAAAGGTTTCTCTCACTACTCATGTCATCAATACTTTCACTATATGGTGGTTTGGCACAATAGGCTATTGGCAAAGCAGTCTAAATTTAAAAATATGGCAAAACAAAAGATTATTGTTCCTGACGAACTAGTACACACACCACATTAACCCAAAGTTTATGAGTTTAAAATCTGTAGTTAATGATATGAATTATGTCATAAAAAATGATACCATACCCATAAATTATAAAGAAAATATGATAAACCGGCTGCAACAACGTCATCAGACATTTTTTTCACAAGCTATTGATCCCATTCAAATTTCTATTGAATCGCCAACGCGTGAAAAAGATCGTCGACATTGTTCCTCAGAAATATAAAAAGAAAGCTGAACTTATATTAAACTTGGTATATTCCAGTGGTGATCTAACGTGGAATGATCGTGCCGAATTATTGATTAGTGGAAGATTCGTCCCAAACAGTAAGGAAATCAAATTTAGTAAAAATGAACCCAGTACATTTAGGTCGTTAAACACGTGTATCATGTTTCATATACATCTATCTGTATACATTTCCAATAACTTCATGGGGAATATTCATATCTAATAATTGTTCTGTAAATTCTTTCCATCCTGTAGGGATAAAATTGTTTCGTTTTCGTAGCACGTCGTTGATTACATCGATCATCAACTACCGTTCTATCAGCCTGTCCAACTGTGATAATCAATAGTATTTTCTGAATTATTAGGCCTTTTCTCTACATACATAACAATGATTTATTGTTACATTTAAAGTGTATTTTATAATTTTGCCTGTCGTTGACTTTATGCATCCGGTGACGTAGTAATCAAAGTTAGTTTATTATATAATTTAAAGTTTTATAAAAAAAATATATCGAAAAAACTCTTTGAAAATTATCATTTGAAAAAGAATTAGTTGAAATATTTTTATGATCAAAACTATTTAAGATGTCTGATAATAAAGATGTTTGTTCAATTCTATAACTTATTTATTTGTGTAATTTTGTATTTTACGCGAACGCGTTTGTAAAAAATAAATAAAATATAGAACTGGTGTCTAAGGCTTAGTGAAAAGTTCCAGACAACCATAAAGTATCCGACCTTGAACGTCGCTAATCTGGTCCTTATGACGCGCCCCACACTTTTACAGGTTTATCTTTCTAAATAGAACCAAGTTTAAATTACTTCTCGGTAACACGTGTTAAACTAGTACGTAGCAGCCTCGTCCTCAGAGTGCTGGAATGTTTAACAAGAAGACGAGTAGCTAGAGAAGACAATCTTCTGACACTTAGCGTTAAAATACTTACAGCTAAACAAAATTTCTGATAATCTGATATTCATAGTAGTTTAAACAGCATTCTTTGAGTATCTGAAGTGATGTTGGTCAACATTAAATATAAATATTGAACTACAGTAAAATAACACCAACATTGTAGCAGTCCTTCCTTTACTTTTAGTACAGTGTTTATTAAAGGTAAGTTGAAATAATGATTATAACATTGAAAAAAATTGAATTCTCATTTAACCGAAAGGGAAAAAAACACAAATATATTTTATAAATGATTAAATTATTTATAACTAAGAAATTATCTAATTATTCTGTCAACAATTAGTTGCTTTATAAAACACTTGTTAGATTGATAACTCTTGTTAATATGAGAGTTTAGATACAAGTAAAACTTTAAATAAATATTAACTATCACAAAGTCAGTCAGTTTACTACATATTTCATTAACTGTTTTGTACAGAAACCAAGTTTTACAATGTTGTTTATCTTACTGTAGGAAAAAACAACAAAACAAACAAGACATATTGACATTAGAAGCGACGTGTAGATAGATAAACAAATATGATTATATAATACAAGGTAACCTCTAAGTATTGTTTCAAGAATATCTCATAAATGATAACTTTTAACGGATTTCATTTTTTTTCATGATGATGTGACATGAAATTTACAAAATGATGATCAGTATCAAACCTATGATGATTCTTCTTCTGGTTCATCAGAGCTGTCAGATAGAGACGAACTTCAACCTTTGACAACTGACATCAGTATCAACTGTACTGGATTCAATCAATCTACTTGTTACACAAGCTAAACAGCAAATACACATCGATGGTAAGTCATCGTTTACATCACTTGTCTGTTAAAATATAAAACATGTAAATACTGGAACATGAATAATCTATTTCAGAATGTAACCCAAAATTTCTATCAATGTTTTAATTACAGCAAAACCCTTCAGTTAAGATGTATTTCTTCTTATGTTGTCAGGTGTCTAGAATTATTTTGTAAACATATTTTATTATTATTTCTTTGTGAACTTATGTAAATTCCATTTTTCATTGCTTATATTCAAAGGAACTGGAATGTCTTACAACCTCTCCTGGACCAATAGACTGTGCAGATGTTTTCCTTAATGGACACCGTAGTAGTGGAGTGTACCGTATCTGGCCCAAGTCATGGATGTTTACAGGAAGTATTGATATTTACTGTGATATGGACACTGATGGAGGAGGTTGGATAGTAAGTAGAAAACGGAAGTATATAAAGAAATAAGACCAAATTAATAAATAGTTGAAATTCATGTTTTATTATGGTGATTATTTTCTGTCATATTTTACAACTAAAGTCTGTATGTTATATAATACCTGTAAAAATAGGTGGATATCATCAAGGTAAATGATGTAAGACTTGTAAAGAATATCACATGTAATAATTATTAAAATGTTAACTTTCACTCTTATTTTGGAGCTCTCAAAAGCTATTGTTACAAAAGATAAAAAACATCGTTTTTGTTATTGATTTATCTGGAAGAAAATAATTTGTAATAAAAACAATCACACTTTATTTCTTCAAACATTAATAGAACATAAATAAAAAGAACACTATGTGTCATTAGAAACAGCGCCCTCTGTATTATTAACATTATTGACCTCAACACTGTAGAAGTAAAATACATATTTAACGTTATAAGTTATAACTTTTTTTATTTTTTAAACAACTAAATATCGGTTCCTGGTTAGCTGTTAATGATGGTAAATGAAGAATGAAAGTGGAACAAACTTATAACAAACTTGTAAAAAACACGCGCCCTATAACGTTGTTTGTAATTAAGCACAAAGCTACACAATAGGCTATCTGTGCTCTGCCCACCACGGGTATCGAAACCCTGATTCTAGCGTTGTAAGTCCGCAGACTGTGCCACTGGGGGGCGGCTGCCCTATAACGAAACTCATAACTTATCAAAAGCATATAATTATTGGTTTGGATAACTTTAATAGACTTGTTGAATGAAAAGGAAATATCAGTCTATTAAAATTTCAAACCTACTTTGTCTGCCCTAAATTACCATGAAATAACATAACATTGATGTTTTATTTTTTGTTGGGGAAATTATATTTCAGGAGGTTAATTATTATGTTATTGATAAAGTATTAATTGATTATCGTCCTTTTACCAATGTTAACTGTTTATAGAATGTTATACATAATTTGTGATGTATTACGCTAGAGATAACCCGTAGTTAAAAACTTTTTATTGACTTCACCAAGAGGACATTATGGTGTATCACAACAGTTAAATTTCTCCACCAAGGACAGTGACCATGACACGTATTCTGGTAGTTGTGTAGAGTTATATAAAGGAGGATGGTGGTATGGAGAATTTCAATCTTCTAACTTAAATGGAATTTATCTGAATGGACAACACGAGAGCTACGCTAATGGTGTGAACTGGAAAACATGGAAAGGTTATCATTACTCACTCCCGGAAGTGTCAATGAAAGTTCGACCCCTTAACTTTGAAATTCCGACAAATAACAGTAACATTCTAATGTAAAATACAATTTTGTTATCTTTTAAAACCACGATTTCTATTTGATGGATAAAATTAACATTAATTTGTAAGAAATACTTAAATACCAGTTTAGTCTGAACATGAATGAATACCACATTTTCTGGATAACTCGTGTTCATAATCACCTGAACAATTTTAATGACATTGTATATCATTGAACAAAATTTCCTATTTATTAAAAACTCACCTAAAACAACATTAAAAATACACAATAATCTAAAATTGTTGAAGGCTTTACTAAAAATCTTCATGTTTTGGTTGGTCACAGACCTACTGTCATCAGCATTGAGACAAATACCTTAACCAATCATTTAACATTCATGTTAATAGTTATCCTTGTATTTTACTGTCCAAAGGACGCTGTCTCAGTGAGGGTCAGCAGGTAATAAGGAGGAGGATAGAAGGGGTAGAGATGATGATGTCATAGTTCCACAGAGAGCGCAATGTTAGGCTCAATGACGTCATATATGACTACGTAATAGTTCCACAAAGTTGAGCTAGATGATGTGTTGCTAGGCTGGCATAACCGGTTGCCATGACGTAATATTTCCACGAAGTAGAAGCAGAGGGCGCGGTTATGTTAGGAAGTGGTGATATCATAGCTCGATACCAGAAAGCCTATTACTATAGAGGAATTGTTACGGATCAACATGTTTCAACATGACTATACTTAATACTAATTCATTAATTCTATACATTTCTTGACCAAGATAATCCCCTAGAAGTGGATCGTATCACTATACAATACAGAAGAACTTAACTTCTTGATGTCTTTCTTATGTTGAGAGTATGTGGAGCCAGTTCTAATGGATCAAAATATTCTTTTTCATTTCGACCAAAGTAAATACCTGCCATGACATCATATACGATAACGTAATAGTTCCACGAGTGGAGCTAGAGGATGTGTTGCTAGGCTGGCATAACAGATGGCCATGGTGTAATATTTCCAAAGTAAATACAGACCCAGTGGCTACAAGATTTATGAATCGGATCCAGGTTAACGATGCACAATTGTTTTTCTGCATGGTCAGGTAGTTGATCACTGGCAAACTCACCTCCAACCTCTTTCGTGTACACAAATCGTTTGAAAATATCGAATGTGTTTCAGACATCAGTTATGATGTTTCCAGACGGATCAATCTCTAAAACTGAGTGAAATTCTGCATATGCTAAAACACTTGTAGTGTTGGGTAAGGCACTACTAAAACGTTTCCCTGTTTCACGAAGTAAAATTGAAAATCTCCAACAGATAGATCTGATGTAAGATCAAAGGCAAAGAGTGTATATCCTCCCATGTATTCGTTATATCATATATCAATTCCTTGATCTCGAAATTGTTTTCCAGTCCCACTAATTAATGTTTCGAAGATTCGTCCATACAGTGCGGCTTCAAAATTTGGTTTTAAAGGTCGAGCAGGAATTGTTTTCTGTCCTCGTTAATTTTCATGAAATTGATATTGTAATGTTTAAAATTGTGCGAATTTTTCCTCCAAGATCAATTATATTGCATTGTTGTCAACACATCCTATAATAAGACATTATTTGACCTAAAAAAGTATTATCTTGTAAGATGCTTGTAAGATTGAAAACGATTTGCACTATATATTTCTTAAAGGATATTTAGATGTTCCTTTATGAAAAGCTTTATAGTGAAAAGGAATGACTGATGGGCTGATCTTGACTTTTCTAGTATAGATATAAACGTGTTGTAGTACAATTCTGAATCCCATTTCATCATTTGACGTAATATAAAACAAATCTTTACTTCATGTGTGTATCTCTGTATTAGTTCTCGATTATACCATTATTATCATCATTAAAATGTTTTACCCACACAGAAAAGTTCAAATGACTTCTCTTAGATTCACCATTATAATGAGTAAAGTTTCTATGTAGGACTTATAGGTGTAAAGATGGTGAGACGAAGAAATAAGTTTGAATTTCAGGTGTACATCTACTTGAGAAAAAAGAGAATGAAGCAACAAGTTGTTAGATGCAGAAGTATCTTCATCCTTTTTTTATGTCGGTACATCAGGCTTAACTATCTTTGTTTTCACATGAAGATATGACTTACCGAATCTAAATATTCATCTCCTGATCCCGATATAGAAAATTTGATGGACCTTCGTTTATCACTGATAATAGAGGATGATATTCAGTCCACTGACTTTCCTTAATCATAGTTTGCATGGGAGGGAGAGAAAATAAGTCCAGCTCAAATTTTGTATACTGACAGGACTTTTCATATGATAGGAGAGTCATGTTAGTTGTCAAAATTCTCGAGTCCATGTTCTTCGTCTCTTATCTTTAGATACTCTAAACACTGGACCTTCCTTTTTCTTGTATCACTAGTTCTTTTCCAGCATCAACAAAATATTTTTCTAGTATGACATGTGATGCTAAATTTAGGCCTGATTGAACAGTTTGATTCCCTAATGCTAATGCTCCTTTTTTCAGAAATGGTATAGCCCTACGAAACAAATTACCCAAAACGTCTCCCAATCCGTGACCCCATTGCCATTGACTACCAGCATAATAAGATAAACCGTTTCCCACACAGTAATCGTAATACACACCATAGATCGATGGTTCATGATAGTAAGGAACTCTCATGATGTCAGACACTATGAAAATGAAGTGTTATGATGACTCTACAAAATAACATAGTTCGACCAATGTCGTCCTTTATATCCATCTATCATTTGCGTTCATACTTGCTATTCAGGTTTAAGGAGTGTTTCTTCTACTTGGGTTAAGATTCTAATCAAATCTTCAGGTTCTTTGTAATGACGTGGTATAATATAATTTGTTATGATAGCAGAGTGAAAGCCTAAAATGTATGATAACCATCCTGTACCAAAAGGTACCTTATGCCAGCTATATGGTTACTGTAATTCGACCAAGGCCACTTCCTACAAACCTTCAAGACTGATAGATATCGGAAGATGAATGATATAATTTGTCAGAGTATTATTAGCAAAATAATTCATAGAACTGTTACTAGGTAATATCAATACAACTGAGTTATACATACATTTATCAGGATATCCTTTCTAATTTACAAAATGTTGTTTGTTTTTAGCCCATCCTCGTTCACATAATATTTATTCTCCATTTTTGGAAAAATTTATAACATGTTGTAGTTCATGTTCAAAAATGTTCCATTTAATTTTTGTCTTGATTGTCTTGCAGTTCATACACAGGTGGATTTCTCTATATTCTGTCGTAAATTGTAAATATCTTGTCGGTTCATCCAGACACATAACCTATCTTAAATTGACGCTTCCCTTTAATAATACGTACTTGAGCACTTACTTTGAACTGAAATTTTACCTTTGTGGGAGGTTTGTAAAGTGTTTGCCACAGAACAGACTGGATAGGATTATTAACGTCTATTAGTCTCATTTTAATGATGCGATAATATGATTTATTGTAGGCACTGACTAGATGTTTAAGTACAGTGATATATTTATAAGTTCAAGGATGAGTAAAATAGCATCACATTCCAGGTTTAAGAGTGTTAATAAATATTTCTATTAGAGACACTTTTGTTTGTTATGTGAATTAAAGACGTGAATGTCTTGTTCTTTGAGATGATGTTGAAACAGGAGATTAGTAAATTCTATTCCAGCATTAGTTTGTAGTTTACAAGGTTTTGACCCTGTTTT